GCGCGCAGGACACGGAGGACGATAAGGATGGTCCTCTTGACTGGCACACAACACCGGAGACGCCGCCGGAGACGCAGACTGGCAACCCTCCTCCAGCTCAAGATGGCAAAGTGGACATGAAGGAGCGTCACCGCCGAGCTCTTGGGGACAAGCGCATGGTAATCCCTTTCCCCTAATAATAAACCATGAATACCGCGCCCCTGCCCCCGCTCATAGTGAATATTCCTTGAGGGGAAAGCAAATTGTTTAATAGGGCCATTAGGGGTCGGATCTGTGTCCCCTGTTGCAAGTGTAAAGGGCCCAAATTATTGGTTTGTCAATTGGTTGTAAAAAGTACAAACTTTCAACGGGCAAAGGCACTTTGGCTTTCAATTCTAGTTAGTACAAGGTTAGTAGAGGGAGCCAGGGCTGCGGAGTGCCCGAATAAGATCGGTATCGGGCTAAAAGTAGGCTTGGGCCCTTGAGGTCTGAGAAATTGATATCCATTACTAGGGTGCATTTATTGACAGGCGGAAAGCATTCCGCCATTCGGAGAAGGGACATCATGGGCGCTCATCCTTGCTTCTGAGCGTCGTATTCCCTGACACGTTCTTGCAAATGTTTTTCCGGCTACTTGCTGTCAACTTGCGTGATCTGCCAGGAGGGTGCTGCGGCGATGCGACGTGGGAGGTGGCTGGTCTCCATCCGAGGCATTGACGGAGCCATGGAGGGGTCTGGGGACGGCTTGAGGCTAGCAGAGATTGAAAGTCAAGGAGATGAGCCAGACTCTTCTTCCTCTTCTCACGCTTCAGACGTAGAGGGATGCTTGCAAGAGGAGGGTCAGGAAGATCTGTCTCCACTGTCACCTGCGGACTGGAGTGTAGATGACGTGGCCAGCTGGCTCTGGAACCTGGAGGGTGACAGGCATCGAAGGCAGGCCGCGTCTCCACTTGCAAGCCCGTGGAATGTGGCGGCGGAAAGCACGCAGCTAGCAAATCACACACGCACACACGCACACGCAAACACCCACACACCCACACACACACACACACCTACACACATACGTGCATACAACCATGCACACATAGGCGTACAAACGCACAAACACACATCCACACACACAGATACACACATACACAGATACGCACATACACACATACGCACAAACACACATCCACACATACACAGATACACACATACAAACATACACATGCACACGCACACACACACACACATCCACACATACACAGATACACGCATACACAGATACGCACGTACACACATACGCACACACGCACACACATACGCACCTGCACACATACAAACCTACACACATACGCACATGCACACATACACACAAACACACCTACGCAAATACACATGCACACAACCACACACACACACCTACACACATGAACTCAAACACGCACACACACACATACACACATACACACATACACACATACACACACACAACCACACCCACACACACATACACACATACACACACAGACACACGTACACACATACACACATACACACACACACATACACACATACACACACACACACACAGACACACATACACACATACACACATACACACAAACACACATAGACACATACACACATACACACACACATACATACACACACACACACATTCGCACACATATGCACACACACATACACACACATGTACACACACACACACAAAGGCAGAGACAGGCACAGCGACACACAGCTCAGAGACAACATACGCATAGACACATACACACACACACACGCGCACGCACGCACGCCTGCTCGCCCGCCCGCCTGCACGCACGTACGCACGCACTCACGCACGCGAGCACGCACGCACGCACGCGAGCTCGCACACACGCACTTTCTCACACAGACACATGCGCACACACTTACACACACACACACACGCGCACACACACTTACATACACACACACACACACACACGCGCTCACACACACACACACACTTATATACACGCACAGACTTACACACACACACACACGGAATTACACACACACAATTACACACACACACACTGGCACTGCGGTTTCCAGGCAGCCAAACGCTTGCAAGTGCTGCTTCGGCCAGGTATGTCGAGGCGTTCAGGCGGGAAGCGATCAATGGCAAGGCGCTAGCTCTCCTCAACATGGCGGAGCTGAAGCAAGAGCTTCAGGTGAAGGAGCTGCGCAACCGCAAGGCCGACCGGCTTTCAGTAGCCATTCGCTGGCGTGGGTGTCAGTGCCAACAGGGCCACCCAAGCGGCCAAAACTTCAGGTAACTTGCTCAAATGTCGAGACTTGAACTAGATAACGCTAGATGAAAAAGCCTTCCCCTTGGCCCTTGCTGTTCTACTTGCGCGGGCATTGGTGTGCAAAATCACGGACAATTGGCCTTGAGGTGGTTGATGCCGTGCGTAGGGCGTAGGGCCCGCACGGTGGGAGTTGAGTGGAATGCCTGGGTTCATTGGCTTCGCTGTGGAGAGGTGACCGTGTTTCGTGGAAAAAAGGGCACAGCCTGTCAGGTCATCTATGATGAGATTCAGATGCTGTTTCGGCAGAAGATGCTCTGAAGTGCAAAATGATGACAGCGCCTTTACCTCATTTCATTATACTGAGCCATTTTAGAAGCACACTTACCGTTCAGCGACTGACTTTCCACGTCAACAAACTCTTCTCGCAGTCCTGTGCGGGCGCACAATGTACAGTCAACGTGCGCCGCAACCAGCTGCTTCGGTTTGTAGTCTCATCCAGTCCATGGGTGCAACGCGCCCAAGCCAGGAAATCTAGCTGAGTGGCACGCATGTCGGCAGAACTCTGACTAAGACTCAACATGCGTTTTGCTGCTCTGGAGGTGAAAAGCGATTGGCTTGCACTAAACTACCTTCAGCCCTGACTGACGTGCAAAACATTCGCAGGCTGCATTTGTGTTGCACGCTTGCGAGCAAGTTGGGCTGGGATGCCGGTCACGGGAGGCACAGCAGACAGACCCTTTCAGATCGCATCTAGCCTTTACAATTTCCTGTCGCGCAATGGACATCCGGTGCCTGCGATTGACCAGCGCGGGACTTGTGGAGCCTGCAGGCCTTCGCTACGGCGCAGACCGCTTGTCGCAAAGGAGCTTCAACAGCAGGTTGCGCCGGCCTCAGCGGTCGTCTGGCGAAGGGAAACTCCTGCGCACCTAGCGCCATCTCATGTTGCTAGGAAAATAGCATGCTTTTGAAGACTGGCCTATCGTTTGCATGCATGGGTCGATGTCCGTGTCGCCGAGGCTGGATGCGCTTCCTGCTTCCCTGTTCATCCCCACCCCGGCCTGGCGGGACCTGCCTGTGACATCTCTTCCGGGCTACGACAAGGTCTTCGTTGTGGACCCTGAGATGGCGGAAGGATGCGTCATGCTGATCCTGTTCTTGACAAAAGATGGCCGGGAGAGGATGGACTTCCATGACAACCCTTTGGCCTACCAGCTCATCTCAAGCAAGCAACGCCAGGAAAAGCACATCAAGTTTGTGAGCGGCAACGTTGTGCTGCTGAGACATCCAGGCTTCGCAGTCCGGCCAACGGTGCAAAGTCTGAGCTTGGATACCTTCAAGAAGCGGACAGCGGCGCTGCCGGACTGCAAGGTATCCTTCCCTGGGCGGCCGCAGACCGCGCCCATCTTCGTGCCACGGCCCCGGGGCGGCTTTGCCCTGCCAGGGCCCGACGGAGCCGCAGCCCCAGCTGCTGCAGCCCCAGCTGCTGCAGCCCCAGCTGCCGCGGCCGCGCCGGCGGCAACGCCCAGGCTCAGCCCCACCCCAGTGCCGGCGGAGGACGAGTTCTGGGGCGCCGCCCAGGACAGCTACGCCAGCGTGGCCAGGGCGGCCAACAAGGCGGAGGATTTCTCCGATCTGACGGACGACGCCAGCACGGCTGGCTCATCCGTAGCGCGGTCGCCAGCAGACTGGGCGGTGGACGAAGTGGCCGCATGGCTTGCTGCCTTGGACATCGGCAGGTGTGTTAGGCCAGGCCAGGGAGATGAGATGTCGTTGCCAGAAACCTGCCGGGAAGTTTGAGCCCATGCTTGTGATAAGGCAAATTTAGCCGAGCGCTGCCGGTGTGCTGGCGCGCGCCAGGTATGTTGACACCTTCCGCCGCAACGAAATAGACGGGAGAGTGCTGGCTGAATTGACAAAGGACAGGGTTCAGGTTGACAACAGCTTGGCGAGGTTCGGGTAAGAACGCGTTTGCCTTCAATATTATACGTAACATTGCAACCGGGCAATTGAGCCATTATTTCTCCCAAAACTCAGGCAGCGCAGCAGAAGTCCAGGGTACGCGTATGTACGCGTTGTGTTTCCTGAAGCTTGTCGCATCGAGGACGAGCTGAAGGACGATTTGGGCATCAAGGAGCTGGGCATCCGGAAGGCCGCTGGGTCATCGACGGTTTCTTCTATCCAACGCAATGTCCGGATTTCGGCTCGTGAAGCTATGATGTTTTTGTTTCTTGTGCTGACTTGGAAGCACCCTACGTCAACTCTGATGCTTGCGCAGTGAATACTTCCTCCCCAACATGCTAGCTTCAGAGTATTGCAGGGCAAAGTGTCTCAGTCTAAGAGACTTGGAAGTTTCAATGTGTGTTTTGCATGTGTGCAAATTTGAATGGTGCTTGCCGCTGCGTGAGAATTCACTGTGCTGAAAAGTCCCAATTCATCCGGCCCGCTACTGTTGACAGTGAGTTGGCAGCGGTTGTTTCCCGCCTTGTCAGGTCATCTTCAACGAGATTCAGGAACTCTTCCAGTGATCCGAGGGAATTTTCTATTTGACTGTTGTGGTGTTGATGTGTCCCGTTTGCAGTGTACAGCTGATATCCTCTGGTTTCTAAATGCTGACATGTTTGCGCAGGCAAGACTTTGTGCAAGCCCTGGCAACAAAAGTATCCTGCTCAGCTCGTTCCAGCGCAGTTGGGCTTATCAAATCTTCAGTGGATTCAGTGGCTGCTGCGCTGTGCTGCCGATCCGCAAGTAAAAGTGCTCAAACTGGCCAACGCAAACTCCTCGATCCTGCGTGCAATGTTCGGTGGACCATTCGCGATGGGCGGCAATGGCTTCGGTGGCTTGCCCATGGGCATGCCCGTGATCGTGCGCGATTTGCGAGCGGATAGGTCACAGCCGCCCAGGGAGGTGACGGTGAGAGTTGGCGGCATCCCGATCCATGGCCTGGGCATGGGCCCTTTCGGGCCATTTCCGGGTCTCGACGACGGGCTCATCACCCAAACGATACATGAGGCGCTGCAGCAGGACAGCTTGCCAGTGGGGGACGCAAACGCCACCCTGGAGCTCTACCACAACACCAGCCCGGACAGAGCCGAGGCGATCGTGCAGTCGCAGCGCATGTATCGCGGATCCAACGGCCTGGCTGGTGGAGGCATCTACTTTGCGGAGAGTGAGGCTGAGGCCAGGAGGAAGGCCCACAACCACGGGGCCATGCTGAGCGCCACGGTGCGCGTGGGGAAGGTCAAGGTGGTGCACCGCTCCGCGGATGCCAGCTACTTGCAGCTGCGCAGTGAGGGCTACGACTCGGTGAAGATCCTGGGCCGGGACTCCGGCGCCGAGTACGTGGTTTACAACTACGACCAGGTCACAAACATCCGGCGAGTGTGAGTCACTGAGCGGTTTTCCGGGCTAATGAGAGCACCTGAGCTTGACTTTTCTGGATGTCCCTGCCCGGACCTCGAATCCTCCGGGCTTGGGCGTTGTGCAGGCTTGATTTTGGGAGCCAGACTCCGCACTTTGCAACCAGCAGTCCAAGCAAGACTTGTGGCAGGACTTCGGAGCAAAAATGATCAGATGCTGCTTGTCGTGGTTCTCGTTGTTGGCGGTTTGCCACTTGGGCATGCAGTTTTCATAGCGCTTGACTTGCAGCATGACCGGGAATCTTCAAGTGCTCCTCGGGGCAGCAGGGCAAGTTTCATTGGTTGGCTGGCTGAGTTTGATGAGACTTGATTCTATCATGCGACATGTTACAGTGCATGTTTTACATCTCAAATTTCGTCACCCACTCATGGTGCCCAATTATGACAGGCGAGTCATGTATCATGTGCGTGAGACGCTGAGTTGGGGATTCTTTCAAGGCAGATCACCCACATGAAGCTCTGGGTCACGAGGTGTGCGGCGCTCTCCTTGCGGGGAATGAAGGAGTCCAAGGGCAAATCCCTGAGACCATTGTCAGGTTATGCCAAGGGTCCGAGGCTGGGACCCCCTGTTGCCTTTCAAGCGCAGCACAGCCACAGCGACAGCAGTGATGATATGTATTGAGTGAGTGCCCCAAAACACAGATAGGCAACAACTGACAGCCTCCTCGTGACTTCGCATCACACACAGCTGGGGCTGCCTGAAGTTAATAAATCGCTGCGAGAGAGCCGCGATAAACACAATTCCGGGAGCGCTGTGGCTCTCAGACCTGGCAGATTTAGATTTGCGTGCTTGGCAGTTGATCTCTTGACCTTGGCCATGTCTGGCGCAGTTTGGTCCTGGAGCACTGGTGGCCATTCCCGGCCCTACGATGCAGAAGTGAGCCGCCTGATTGAGGAGGGCTTTTGCAAGAACCAGCAAGAAGTCCGCATCCGGTTGTGGACGGGCGCCGGACACGAAAGCTACCGCGTCAACTTCCACAAGATGCGCCAGGGCCGCGTTTGCTTGCCTATCGCACAGAGCTGTCGCCACAAAATGGCTTCAATCTTCCTGGGTTGCGGGTTGAAAGCGTTGCCAATTTTAGGCACTTGCTTTAGAGCCCTGATGCTGCTTAGATATTAGTCCTGAGACCTGAGCCCGTTAGAGAGTTGGCAACCCGCTTTCAATAGAATGCCTAGCGCGGTTTTGGGAAACCAGGAGAGCCTCCGTGACGGTCACAAGTGGCGGCCTGCGCAGCGCACTCAGGCGCCGGAAGTGGCAAGTGAGATTTTGGCCTGTCCAAAGTTCAACATGAAACCAAGAAATCACAATGTCAATGTGAGCACCTGACAGAACACTAGTCAGTAGTCTGTGGCACTCTCTGTGGCTTGAGAAGACATTAGGGCTCTTCCCCCCCAATCAGCCAACATTATCAGAGCTCACCTGACTTTCTCTACGCATGGCCGTTGGGAGGAACAGCCAATACTAGTGCGAGTGTTTCTTACGTGATATGAGTCTTTGGTTAGGTTGCCTTGGGTTCCACGTTTAATTCCGGGTGTGCGTGTATGGCCCAGGAGACACCGAGGCGTGAATTTAGATTCTCTCGGCCGCAAGGCAGAGGCCAAGATTCACCTCTCTGTTCTACGGCAGGGGTTGCTCCGAAGCGGAACTTGCGCCACCATCGGCTTGGCAATTCAGCGCATCAAACACTTCAGAGCAGGCCAAGCTAGTGGGGCTGGTAGCTACTTCTGGCACTTGAGAAACCCAAGCATGAACGTCGGCTGTCCAAGCATCTGCTCAGCATTTGTAAGTATGTGACATGTCAGCGGAGTAGAGGAACAGCAAGTGGCTGCTCAATTGTGGTGGCCATGACGTAAGCCCTTACAACAAAGGAAGCTGGTTGTTTCCCTCCAAAGGAGGTTTTCCCTGCATTTGCTGTTTTGCTACAATTGGAACTGGGTTGGCTGCTTTGCAAGCGACCAACCTTTCAAGGCCGAATCTGTAGAATCCTACCCCTGCCCGATTGAGCCATCGTCACATCACCACTCTGGCTGCGCGCGGGGTGGGCATGCTCGCTGTAGAAGTCCGGCGAGAGCCAAACTTGACACTGACATTGTGGCCCCATCTTGACAACACGATTTGTCACTGGAGAACGGGAGTGCGAGCCAACTTTCAGCATGTTTGTCTTGACGAACTGCATTGCCAGGGGCAAAGCCAGCCAAATAAAGACAACGTTGCCAAAACACACATCCTATTGCAGCGATCGTTGACTGGTCTCTCGCATGCAAGTCCGGTTGAAATGAGCAAAGGGGCAACTCTATTATCGCCCAATGACGTGAGCGCATAGTTGAAGCACACAGCCTTTCTAAATTGGGCCATGCCCAGATATTTGAAGATTCATGGCACAAGTTCCGTTGACCCCATTGCCGCTGGGAGGGAAGGCATCGCAGGTGCAGCCGTCCTTGGTGACCCAGGAGCCAGTCGCAGCACGAGATGCCGGACTTGAGGCCAGGTCGCCGGGCGGCTGAGCGCATGGAGGCAAGTCTTAGAGCAGTGTGAAGCGCCGCCAGAAGACAAGGATGGGCTCAGTTGAGGTACCAACACAGGAAGTCCCATCATATCTTATCATGAAGGAAAGGGCCCTGCAGCCTGGCAGCGCGTGCCTCGAAATTAGAGGCAAGATGGTGTGTGGGGGAAAAGCTCACTTGGAGGGCAAATTTGGGCTTCGGGATGTCCAAGTTCGGCATGCGGTTTGCTTGGCCCAAAAGTCCACCAGCATGCCCTTCACATCGCCCGACGAGTGCTTTTGACTCTGGGAACTCAAAGGCAGAGCTGGGAGCATTGAGCCATATTGAGCCCTGGGCTTTGGCAGGTGGAGTTCAGGGGCAAGGTGCGAAGCTTCCACCTGACCTGCAGAGTGGCAGCGGAGAGCATCATCCGCAGCAGGGCATAGCGTTTTGCCGTGTCTTGCAATGTCTTGCACGGTGTGGTCTTGCTTGACACTGACATCCACTGACATCCACTGACGCTAGCGTTGGACTCCGTTTGGAATGCGGTCGGGGCGGATGGGACGTGGGACGTGGGACGTGGGACTGAGGCTCGGGCCCTTCATCTTTTTGCGGGGAGTCCGGAGGACTGTGAGGGCAAGGCCAACGGCGTGAGGTCCGTGGAGGACGGCGCGGTGCTCCAGGCCACCGTGGACCTGGGTTGGCCAGCGCCCCAGCGCCAGCGCGGCAGCCTTCCTGGGCATCAGCGACTGGGCCAAGCTGGACGAGGTCAAGCTGATGAAGGCTCGGCTTTTCCGAGTGGGCCGTTGTGGGCCCTTGTGGGCTGTGGTGGGTGCCAGGGAGTTCATGCATTACTTCCCACCTTTGGGCATATCCTTCTGCAATCCCACAAAGTCATGGCATACCTGACATGCTAAGCTGCCCCTGAAGCTGGATGCCAGAGTGTCTACGGCAAAGCTCCGCTTGTGACGCGGGATGAGTGGGCTGTGCCCTCCAACTCACAGATCACGAATCTCACCTTGAAGGGCTACAAGCAGCAGGGCCAGCAAGTGCCCAGAATGGGTGCACATGCTGGCAGACACCGTGCAGATGGACGGCTGTCCGACTTGGCCCGCCAAATTGGCGGATCCCCCTGCCCGGACTGTCCGGACTATGGTCAGCAGGGCGGCCGATCCACCGGGACGGCAAGTTCATGTCCTACGCGGAGGCGCGCAAGCGCGGCTGGGGTGGGCCACCGACGAACCGGTGGAGAAGATATGTCATCCGACTCACGCACGAGGTCCAGGAATTCATGGAACAAGCGCCAGAAGGCAATGGGCGAGCAAGGCTACTCACAGGCACACATCAGGGCGGCTTACCAGCCTTCGCCCAGAGCAAGCAGTTCCCACAGCAGCAGAACGCATGGAACGAACACCAGAAAGCAATGGGCGGGCAAGGTTACTCACAGGCACACATCAGGGCGGCTTACCAGCCTTGCCCAGAGCAAGCAGTTCCCACAGCAGCAGCGGTTTGCGAGCCAGGAACGCATGGAACGAACACCAGAAGGCAATGGGCGGGCAAGGTTACTCACAGGCACACATCAGGGCGGCTTACCAGCCTTCGCCCAGAGCAAGCAGTTCCCACAGCAGCAGCGGTTTGCGAGCCAGGAACGCATGGAACGAACACCAGAAGGCAATGGGCGGGCAAGGCTACTCACAGGCACACATCAAGGCGGCTTACCAGTCTTCGCCCAGAGCAAGCAGTTCCCACAGCAGCAGCGGTTTGCGAGCCAGGAACGCATGGAACGAACACCAGAAGGCAATGGGCGGGCAAGGCTACTCACAGGCACGCATCAGGGCGGCTTACCAGCCTTCGCCCAGAGCAAGCAGTTCCCACAGCAGCAGCGGTTTGCGAGTGGAACGAACACCAGAAGGCAATGGGCGGGCAAGGCTACTCACAGGCACACATCAGCGCGGCTTACCAGCCTTTATCGCTTCCTGGCGGGCATGGCCTTGGCATGTCTGCTGGAAGCAGCAGTGGTGGCTTGAATTGGAATCAATTCCGCAGTTCCATGAATCGGCAGGGCTTATCAAGTGCGCAGATGTCCCAAATGTACCAGGACCAGAAGTGAGAGGCGGCGTCCCGGCATTCTGTATTTTCGACATTTTCTCTGTGGATTGCGCTCATCCAATGCGTGGCTTTGAGATCGGATCATAGGATTTGCCAATGCTGACTACAAGCTGGGTAGCAATAGCAGTGCACGTCGGTACATCATCTCAAAGGACGCGTCTTTGGAGTTTACCTTGTGGGGAGAGGGCAACATTTTTGAGATCCTCTCCTCACAAGTTCAGCAAGACTTGGGCAGGGCTGGAACTCGCAGGGAGGAACGGATTTGGATGCGATGGGGAACAGTCGCCTATCCAATTATGTATAATTTTGTGAACACGCATGGCTAGCATGGCACGCAGCACTAATCAGTGCCACAGTGCCATGGTCAAGGACCGGGGTTGATTCTGTATTATGCAGATCAGACATGATCAGGCTTTATATTGAGTGGCGGTGGAAAGTTGTGTTCAGGTAAAGTAATTAGCTTTCGGAGTGTTGGTCTTTGGTGGGCCTCTCGTTTGACATCTTGGCGGAGAAATCGTTCAATCGGACTTGGATAGCTCGTTGATTCCTGATTCCAATCGGACGTATCACGGCGTATCACGGCCAGAACTCGATGCGCCCGGAGAGGAGTCGGAGATGTTGTTTTTGTCTCAGCACGCAGCTCAGTGCCTTTCCAAATCCGGCAGCTTTGGCTTTGTGTCCCAGCTTGCTTGGCCTTGTCCATCATAGCCTCAACATCCTCAACGTCAGTCCGGACTCGTAGTGTTTGTGACCATGCTATAAAGAACAGATTGATGCGAAGTCCACCTGCGCAAGTTCTGCTCGAAAACACGACATAATCATGGGTGAGCTGAACTTGCAAGTGTCCCGGGCAGGCGCAGTGCCAACACTGTAGATATCTGCGTGACATGTAGAAATGGCGTGCTTACGTTGCCCAGATGCTGGCTTTGCTCTCATCTCGCAGAACCGGGTCCTGCTTCTGCGTTCTATTGACTTCCAAACTGTTCAATGCTCACGCCGCGCACTCGAGCTTGTCAAGCATTTAACCAATCGCAAAAGGGTGAAATCAGGACTTCAAATTGTTCTCCAGCCCCAAGTTTCTCGTCTTCGGGACATCTAAAAGTGCAGCCGTTGCCACCAGATGCAACTACGAACCCGATGCATTCCAGTGTTTGAGATCGATGCTCTTGAATTCATGGACGATCATCACTTTTCTGTGATAAGCAAAGATCCAGCGAACCGCTTGCCCAGACGCCAGACGGCAGTGGGTCGAATGTCACTGTGAACGTGAGGACATGAATTGTGCGCAGTTTGGGCGCAGGGGAGCTACAGTACCGAACATGTGCTCCTGCAAAGATGGGTGACTTCTTGCCTTCCGGTCGCGTAACGTGTCTCTGATCTTTGCACCTGAGGCAACGGCAGGGTCAGTAGCTGTCCTCTTTGAAGTCAGCACGAGGCGCTGGAAAAGGCAGCAGCCGTTACCAGCTGCATCTTCAGCAGCTGTAATTCAAGTGTCGCTTCTTCTGCGTACAAAGGGCTGTTTGCCCTTCGCTTCTTGGATGACCTTGGCCACATGGGAAATCTTCAATGCCAATGACTTGCGCAAGAAGTAGCCTGAGGATGCTTGCTCAACCACTGTAGTGCTGGAGGAGCATCATTGCTGCAAGCCAAGCTGGTATTGCATTTCTGCCACAGCAGCTGCTGTAGCAGCTGCCCCTGCCGCTCTCGCTGCGTTGGTGTTTCCGTCGTCGTCGCCATCGCCCCCGTCGTCGTCGTGGTCGGCCTCGCCGGCGTCGTCGTCGACGTCCTCGTCGTCGTCGTCGTCGTCGTCGTCGTCGTCGTCGTCGTAGTGGTTGTTGTTGTTCTTGTTGTTGTTGTTGTTGTTGCTGCTACTGCTGCTGCTGCTGCTGCTGCTGCTGCTGCTGCTGCTCTTGTTGCTTTTGTTGCTGTTGCTTTTGTGCTTTTGTGCTCTTGTTGCTTTTGTTGCTCTTGTCATTGCTTTGCTCTTGTTCATATTATTTGCAGTATTCCCTTCTTTTTCTTCTAAGGGATCCAAGGGTTTCTGCATTGAGCCCTGAGATGAAATATTTGGCAAATGTTGCGTTAAGCTTTTAGCTGGACATGACCCAGAATCGAGGTGTTTTGCCAGCGGGTGTGATCCCAGCGTGTAATAGACAAACCCTTGTTTGTTTCATTGTGCTTCTGGCCTTCCGATTCTGCTGGCCCTTCTAGTACCTCTTGTTGTTCTTGTCCTTCTTGCTGTTTTTCGTGCTCACGCTTGTGTTCTTTGTCTTGCGGTTGATTTATTGCTGTTGCTATTTCCATTCTTAGGGAAAGTCGCATAAAGGCTCATCCCTTGTCCCTCCAGAATGTCAAGTTCCGCTGGCCCTGATCTCCTGCTGTGAGCTGGCTTGGGCAGCAACCACGCGTTGTTGAAACAGTCCAGACCTGAAGCTGCTGCAAATTGTTGTTCGTTGCGTGCCTCTGGGCATGTTGCGACTGTCACTGACTTAGAGGAAACTCTGCCCTTTGGGCAGGCCAACCTCAAGGAATATCCGCTGCGCCTTGCTGCGTTGCAAAGTTCGCAAGTTCTCACTGGCCGAAAGGTAGCGCGAGGCTTTGAGTCTGTGAGTCTTTGAGTCTTTGAGTTCATGGCATCATGGTCTGGGCAGCCTGAAGGCATATTTGAAGGCTGCATGGCGACTGCCATGGACGAGATACAGTTCCTCCATGTCAACTCTCACAAGGATTCACAGACTTCCGGACTTATATATCCAGGCCAACTTGGGACACATCCACGCTGCAAAGGCTGGCCTTGTTCCAGTTTCACATGTTTTTTGTTGCGTGAGCTGGCCTTCCATGCCAGTGATTTTGGCAGGACAGCCTGTTACTGTTGCAAGGCATGCATTTAGCAGAACGCAACCACAGCCGCTTGAACCTGTTGGGGCGGCCCAATTCTCAGGCGCTTGAAACACCCTATTCCGGGAACGCAGCTGCAGCTTTGCAGCGTTCTTCCTGTGCCGCGTGCTTTTCCGGGCTGCAGCTTTTGCTGGCTCGCTTGTATTTCAGCGCTACCCGCTGCGATGGCTTCCAGCCACCAAGACCAGGGGAGCTTGACACTCAGCATTCCACATGAGTTTGGCAGTCATGACGTTTGGCCTGACACGTGAAGCAATTCTTGCTTATCACCGCCACAAATCCCATTGCTGGGAACATGTAGAAATTCCAGGGAGGGAGTCGCAATGTGACATAAGCAAATAGATAGCGCTGAGCAACTTGACTTGTCCGCTTAAGTTGGAAAGGATACCGTAGTCCATGAGGAGGCCCAGGGTTACTTCGAATACAAGGGCAGAGCGAAATGTGTGTTAAATTGGCATGTCAACGTGTCAGCTTTTACGTTTGGCGTGGTGGGGTTGGCGGGATTAGTCAAGCGCAGCAAAAAGTGGAATGTTGATAAAACACAATGGCGCCATGATGTTGGGGACAACCACCATGCACATCTTGCAAGGTCTTTTCACAGATGCTTTGCTGCGGGCAGGGCAGGCTCTCCTTGAATGGATGATGTGCGCTCAATATGCCAGCATGCACATCATCGTTTGTTGAACATTCAGAGTGTATGGCTTCCTTTGTCTCAGTGAAGATATGACGGGCATGAGTGCTTGCAACATGGCGCAGAGCAGCAAAGAAGACTGGAGCGTCATGTCCCTTTCGCCGACAGCTCCAATAGTCCTGTTCAATGAGAAATGAAGGCTTGCTGTGCCACTCTCCTGCACGGGAATGTTTCCGGCATTGCCCGTTGAAATCGGTAGATATTTGATATTGGTGGGGATGTGAAGCAGCGACCTTGGCAGCCAGGCTGCGCAACCGCTGCCGACATGCATCCGTCCTGGCTGCGAGAACCCAACTTGGAATAAGCAGCCAGGAGAGCGCTGCAACTGGGCGGAGATACCGTGTTCATTAAAGTGAGCATTTTGGAAGGCCTTTTTCCGTTGAACCGGTCTTTAAAGGGGTAATTCTTTGAGGGTGTCAATTGAATTTACTCACGAATACTAACTAGGCGCCCGGCATGGCTCTGTGTTGCTGACATTTGCTCGGATTAGCTGACGTTTTGCTGTCCACGTGCTGAGCTTAGACATGATCCCAGCCACTATTTATATCCTGCGTTGAGGCAGCAGACGGTGTCGGGACGCGGCCCAGTTTGCTGCTGCAGACGCAGCACAGGCCATAGCCTCAGCCCGGTAGACAGGCAGTGTCAGGTTTGAGAAGACCTTGCGAGTCTCGTTCTTTCTAGACCATTGGGGTTCATGATGGGCATCAATCAGACGTACTGGATCTTTCTTCCCGCTCCCACACCGTACGCGCTCATGCCAGTTTCTGTTCTAGCAAGGGGGCCCTGGCTATCGGCCGTAGCGACCGCTAGGGAACACAGCGCGCCGTAGCGACCGCTAGGGAACACAGCGCGCAATCATGCACAGCCAGATCAGCATGCATGATTTCGTAGTTTGTGGGGCGTTGCCCGTTGAAATGGGTAGATATTAGTGGGGTGTGAAGCAGCGACCTTGGCAGCCAGGCTGCGCAACCGCTGCCGACATGCATCCGTCCTGGCTGCGAGAACCCAACTTGGAATAGGCAGCCAGGAGAGCACTGCAACTGGGCGGAGATACCGTGTTCATTAAAGTGATCATTTTGGAAGGTTCTCAAGGTAACCTTTGGGGCTGGATTCCCATTGAACGGTCAAGAAAGGGGTAATTCTTTGAGGGTGTCAATTGAATTTACCCACAAATACTAAATAGCACCTGGCATGACTCTGTGTTGCTGACATTTGCTCGGATTAGCTGACGTTTTGCTGTCCACGTGCTGAGCTTAGACATGATCCCAGCCACTATTTATATCCTGCGTTGAGGCAGCAGACGGTGTCGGGACGCGGCCCAGTTTGCTGCTGCAGACGCGGCACAGGCCATAGCCTCAGCCCGGTAGACAGGCAGTGTCAGGTTTGAGAAGACCTTGCGAGTCTCGTTCTTTCTAGACCATTGGGGTTCATGATGGGCACCAATCAGACGTACTGGATCTTTCTTCCCGCTCCCACACCGTACGCGCTCATGCCAGTTTCTGTTCTAGCAAGGGGGCCCTGGCTATCGGCCGTAGTGACCGCTAGGGAACACAGTGCGCAATCATGCACAGCCAGATCAGCATGCATGATTTCGTAGTTTGTGGGGTGTTGCCCGTTGAAAATGGTAGATATTAGTGGGGTGTGAAGCGGCGACCTTGGCAGCCAGGCTGCGCAACCGCTGCCGACATGCATCCGTCCTGGCTGCGAGAACCCAACTTGGAATAGGCAGCCAGGAGAGCACTGCAACTGGGCGGAGATACCGTGTTCATTAAAGTGATCATTTTGGAAGGTTCTCAAGGTAACCTCTGGGGCTGGAATCCCATTGAACGGTCAAGAAAGGGGTAATTCTTTGAGGGTGCCAATTGAATTTACCCACAAATAGCACCTGGCGTGACTCTGTGTTGCTGACATTTGCTCGGATTAGCTGACGTTTTGCTGTCCACGTGCTGAGCTTAGACATGATCCCAGCCACTATTTATATCCTGCGTTGAGGCAGCAGACGGTGTCGGGACGCGGCCCAGTTTGCTGCTGCAGACGCGGCACAGGCCATAGCCTCAGCCCGGTAGACAGGCAGTGTCAGGTTTGAGAAGACCTTGCGAGTCTCGTTCTTTCTAGACCATTGGGGTTCATGATGGGCATCAATCAGACGTACTGGATCTTTCTTCCCGCTCCCACACCGTACGCGCTCATGCCAGTTTCTGTTCTAGCAAGGGGGCCCTGGCTATCGGCCGTAGTGACCGCTAGGGAACACAGTGCGCAATCATGCACAGCCAGATCAGCATGCATGATTTCGTAGTTTGTGGGGCGTTGCCCGTTGAAATGGGTAGATATTAGTGGGGTGCGAAGCAGCGACCTTGGCAGCCAGGCGGCGCAACCGCTGCCGACATGCATCCGTCCAGGCTGCGAGAACCCAACTTGGAATAAGCAGCCAGGAGAGCACTGCAACTGGGCGGAGATACCGTGTTCATTAAAGTCATCATTTTGGAAGGTTCTCAAGGTAACCTTGGGGGCTGGATTCGCATTGGACCGGTCTTTAAAGGGGTAATTCTTTGAGGGTGTCAATTGAATGTAACAACACATACTAAATAGGCATCCGGCATGGCTCTGTGTTGCTGACATTTGCTCGGATTAGCTGACGTTTTGCTGTCCACGTGCTGAGCTTAGACATGATCCCAGCCACTATTTATAGCCTGCGTTGAGGCAGCAGACGGTGTCGGGACGCTGCCCAGTTTGCTGCTGCAGACGCAGCGCAGGCCATAGCCTCAGCCCGGTAGACAGTCAGAGTCAGGTTTGAGAAGACCTTGCAAGTCTCGTTCTTTCTAGACCATTCGGGTTCATGATGGGCATCAATAAGACGTACTGATCTTTCTTCCCGCTGCCACACGTACGCGCTCATGCCAGTTTCTACTCTAGCAAGGGGTCCCTGGCTATCAGCCGTAGTGACCGCTAGGGAACACAGTGCGCAATCATGCGCAGCCAGATCAGCATGCATGATTTCGTAGTTTGTGGGGCGTTGCCCGTTGAAATGGGTAGATATTAGTGGGGTGCGAAGCAGCGACCTTGGCAGCCAGGCTGCGCAGCCGCTGCCGACATGCATCCGTCCTGGCTGCGAGAACCCAACTTGGAATAAGCAGCCAGGGGAGCACTGCAACTTGGCGGAGATACCGTGTTCATGAATTGCAATTACCCACAAATACTAAATAGGCAGCCGGCGTGGCTCTGTGTTGCTGACATTTGCTCGGATTAGCTGACGTTTCGCCGTCAGCGTGCTGAGCTTAGACATGATCCCAGCCATTATTTATATCCTGCGTCGAGGCAGCAGACGGTGTCGGGGCGCGGCCCAGTTTGCTGCTGCAGACGTGGCACAGGCCATAGCCTCAGCCCGGTAGACAGGCAGAGTCAGGTTTGAGAAGACCTTGCGAGTGTCGCTCTAGGCTTTGCGACTCAAGAAAGAAGTTTAAGAAGTCATCAGACATGGTAAACTCTTTGGCACGTTTTTGAGTCATCATGAGACACTATGTTTGATGCGTGATGACATGCGAGTGCGGTCATGGGTCAACCGCACGAGCTACGCAGGCACGCGAAGATTGATGCTCGGCTAAATTGGTGTGCGCAGAATGCGCCTTGTGGCCATCCCATTTCAATAGATTTGCTGAAGAACACCGGATGCCATGCATCCCAAAACTGATCAAAGGTGCTACAGCTTTGCTCGGGCCAGTAGGCTTGCCTGGAATCTCAGGCGATGAGTCTGTCACGACCTTATTAGTCAAGCATCAGGCATTTGTCAAGTCGGTCTCTTGGCAAACATGCTCGCTTTCCAAGGGTTGTGCAACTTTTGACATGGCTGAGTTGAAGAAATGCGGCTCATGGCTAAGACTCTCAGCTGAGAATGAGCGTGGCGGACAATAAGGAAGTATAGCTTGTTGCCGCAGAAAAGGCGACATTGGAGTCGTAGGCTACTTCACTTTCTCCTTTCCCGTTCAACCGTGCACATCAAGCCTTTTTCAAGTGATGTGCAGCTGATCAGACCATGCCTTTTGTCCCCAGACATGGTTTGTTTGTGGTTTTGTGATTAAATGCCCGAAATATGATTTGTCTTCTAGCTTGCCTCAGGCAAGCTGCTGGCTACCTGGTGCGACTGGCTAGGCGATGGATAGACACAGCAGAACACCTTGGCATATACGGGCTGTTTCACTTTGTTCCAGGTCAGGAGGGCCATGAAAAATAGCTTATCAATCTGCTTGCTTGGCAGGTGGCTGCTGCGGTCCTCGCAAAGCAAGTCGAAGCGAAGCAAATCCGATTCTGTTCTGCGCAGGTGCGCAAAAAGACATTGCAGATATGAGAGAAGCAGGCCCGGATTGCTGCGAGGCCCCATCGGAGATGGCATTCTTGCGTTCTACTTCCCTGGCTACAGCACACCGGTGGATGACATCTGCCAGGTGCCTTCAGTGCATGCTGATCATGGCTTTCGGAAGTTACAATTCCCGGTGACCGGCGCCGATGGCAGTTGTTTGTAATGCCGTTGGGGCTGCGATGTGGTCAGGCTGGCTTCTTGGGCAATTTCTATTCCAGGAGAGCCGGTCGAAGTGGTTTGCCTTCCACTGATTTAGGGCGGACCCCACCAGTCTGGGGGCAGGAGCTTGCTGGTCCAGAGCTGCGGGAGCCCGTTTGCGCAGTTCGAAAACGCTGAAGCGGCTTTCCAGTCCTTGCGACTTGGCAGCACAGGCGCCGCAATAGCGCAGATCTGGACTTTGGACCCGCAGAGAAGCAATCCCCACCCTCCCAACAAGATAGATGCACCCTTACAGGAGACTTGCAGATGGTATCCTTGCAGTGGGATGGTCTTCCTGGAGCAGGATACTGCGGGTATCCCTGAAGCGGTGGGGGAAACACTGATCCAAGGACAGCAACCGAAGGCGTGAGAGCCGGATCCAGGTTCAACAGCAAACTGGCAAATGAAGGTGCCCAGTTCCAAAGACATCAGTTCCCAGGGTGGCAACGGTTCGATTGGGTTCGATTATATAGGTTCGTATTTCCGGTTCGTGTTCGGTTCGGTTCGGTTATTGGGACGGTGAACCCCGTTCCTGAAATTAGTGTCGTTCTGGCTTATTGTAAAGGCTGTGGGCCCAGATGTTGCATCGAAAGGACATTGGTGCCTAATTGGGATACAGCTACTTGGAAAATCGGCGCGCTTCCAAATCCTCCTCATTGACTACCACGTAGGGACTTCCACGCGGGACCTCCACGTAGAGACCTCCTGGCAGGGACCCCCGCATTACAATCTGCCACATATGGGTGTTTCAACATAGGGGACCCGTAAAATGGCTGGTTTCCTGTTGGTTTCCCTTTAAAACCAGCCAAAAAGGGTACACCATTTTGAGAAACCCCCGTATGGACCTCCACGTAGGGACCTCCACGTAGGGACCGCGTCGAGTCGTCCACGCAGGGCCTTCCACCTAGCTCGTGACCTCCACATAGGAACCCCTGCCAGGTTCGCTGACGGTTCGGTTCCTGCGATTCGGTTTCAACGGTTCCCGGTTCGATTACTTGCCATCCTGAGAACCGGATGCGACGGTCCAAGAATTCCAAGAGCGAGAGCCCAGAAACATCCCGATCCAAACATGCCAAAACCCGATCCAAGGGTCCAAGAGCGAGAGCGACATGAAGTAGCATTCCGATCCAAAGGCGCCGAAGCCCAATCCAGAGGTGCCATCCGAAAGTGGCAGAACACGCTCAAGGCCAAGAGCGAGCAATCACGCAAACCGCTTGGCAAACCAGCACGCAGCAGCGGGATAGCCTGGCGTTTGCGTTACTTGTAGCTTGTCGAGTTAGCTTGGGGTATGCTCGCGGTAGCCCTGAAGTGTCCCTGGAGCGGGATACTCTCCCTTGGCATCCTTGGGATACACCTGAAGTGAGATTCTCCAGCGCATCCCAGGCCCTCGGACTGAAGTGGGATTCTCAGGGTATCCCTGAACCGGAATGCTCAGGTTGATGCGTAGTACTTGTACTTTATATAGAGTGTATGCGAATGCCAACTTAAAATCTAACAGCCCTAAGCTATTGAGTGGGAGTTCGGAGAGAGGATGCTGATTTCTGAATGTAGCTTGGGCTGTCGCTTTATATACTGAAAGACGTTCTCCTATTCACTTCATCCGCGCCCTGCAGAGCTCAAAGACGTGCTTGTTCCCGGAGTCCGTTCCAGCAAGGCCGAACGCTGAAGACACTGCCGGAAGGCCAGCCCATTAACGGTCCAAAGGAAAAGTGAGAGTAAGAGAAGAGCCATTGTCAGCCCCTGATGTGACAAGAGTTAGACCAGACCTTGCCCATCTTTTTTTTTTATGAAACAATCCTAGGACCCTCCCTACACTTTTAGCAAGATTTTAAAACAGCGCCTCAAAACAGCACATGTTCAAAATCAACATGTCAAAGCAGGAAATTTCCTAGTAAGTTCATCCATATTTTTAAATACAAAATTTTCAAAATATGTTTATAATATATTTTTTAAAAATAAATCTTCAGTATTTTCAAAAGATGAATTTAAAAACATATTATTCCAAAAATTATGACAAATTATTTTACAATATTTTTTTATCATAAATTTTGTAGAAATATTATGGGCAAGGTTGTTTTTGAAACAAGGTTCGTTATTCTATCTCACGTTATGTATATTTATTTTTTAATTTATTTTTAGGATAATAGTTCAATTTTTCATTTTCATATTTATTGTACTTTTTATACATATGTTTCATAATTTCGTTTAATTCCTGTACTACCTTATTTACTTTGTAATTTCTTTTGAAAATATAATTCTCACGATCAATATGTTCACTAGTATAATGAAATACGTTGGCATTAGAAAGCACCCATTTATTAAAGAGACTATCTAATAACTTATATTTCGTTTTACTAATGTTAAACTGTTTCTTCAATGTTTTTTGGTCAGGTAATTCATAACATACAGCAAAATACCAGTTTAATTTAGTTTTATAGAGGGTTGTTTTTCCATTATTTTTGTTTCTAAAGAATGGTATAAATGATAACAAACATTACATTTGCATTTTTGCCTACCATAATCGTTAATCATTTTTAAACTTTCACTTGCTAGTTTTTGAATGGAATAACTCAACTGGATTAAACTTATGTTTCCCCAATTCCTTTTCAATTATTTTTCTGTTTCATTAATATTTACAACATCAAGAAATGTTTTTGATTATTTCTTCCTGCTCAATCTCACTGAACATTTCCACATCAAGAAATTGATTGATTATTTCTTCCTGCTCAATCTCACTGAACATTTCCACCATATAATAGTATTATAAAATATTTCTTTAAATAACTTTCTAAGAGTAAAAGTACATACCCCAAAAGTACATACCCCAAAATAATGGAAGCACCTTCTCGGGGTAGGGATGTGTGCTTGCCACTTTCACTGTTAGCCTATGCCAGGCGCTACTCGTGATGGTTTGTGTTCAGCCCCGGGATGGCAAAAGCAGTGTGGGCAGAACAACGCCCAGGTGATGCCCCAGATTTCGTATTTTGAGACCGGTGCTGAGGAACCTGGACAAACGCCCACCGGGGCCGCAGAGTACATACCCCAAATTTCTTCAATTTCTCCCGGGCTCCTTTTTTGGGGTATGCAGGGGGGTTGTGGGTCTTGGGGTAGCTTTTGGTCATTGGAAAAAGTGGCGGGGAATTCGGGGGAGGGATGCCGGGTGATTTCGGGAGAGTTTTGGGGGCCAGGGGCTTCGGGGGGTGGAAAAGGGAAATCCGGTGCCAAGAAACGCAGGTGCAAGTGAAAATGGGGCACGCCGCCTTTGCAACATTGTATAACCCCTATATAACCACTCTATAGTCCACTTTTTTTGGGTATGTGATTTCGGGGTATGTAGAAAAACCCTTAGAAATTTTTTACAAGAAATAGTTTATAATAAAATTTCTATATTTTTTTTGTTTTTTACAGTAAAATTTCTATGTATTTTTAAAATATATTGTTTTTTAACAAAAAATAAATTAAACTCATTTTTAGATTCATTATTTCATTTACAACTACAATTACAATGGCAACAATCAAGAATTATATTAGTCAATTCGTGCGGTCGCTCGTTATTTTCCTTTGTGCTGTTAGATTTGTAATGATATTTCCATTTTTCATATCAATAGAAAAACCACAACCGCAGTAATTACATTGATTATAAATATTATCTAAAAACCATTGAGCATTTACATAACCTTCTCTAGGTATGCTTCTTTTTGCTTTCCTGCCTTGTTCCTTGTAATTCAAAATTTTCTTTTCAAAATAACTCATAATACATTTTTGATTAAATACATCATCAACACCTTTCGTATATTTATATAATTTGACTTTGTTTAAATCTCTACATCTTGTAATTGCTGTCCATATCCATTCTGGATAATTCTTTACCACAAAATGATTATAATCAAAAATTGTTATTGTGTCATCAATGCTACTACCTTGAGCAGAATGACATGTAGAACAATAAGCAAATATAAAATTGCTTCTTATTTTAGCAACTTCTACGGATTGTAAAATTTCGGTTTTGACATTTTTTAATGTAAATATTCCATCGCTTCCAATATGAACTATTTTATATTTAAAATTTACCTTGAAAACTGATGTTTTAGTTTTAGTTTATTCCCTACATATTAAAAATCCCCCTACTTCATATTCATCCTTCCTGTTTTCCAGTTTCCTAATTTCATTGGATACATTTTTACAAGTTGTATTTAAAAATGCTATGTTGTTTTTGGAACTACTTATGTCTGTGGTGTATTCAAAATATTTTTCAATAATAGTTTTAATTGGTAATATATTAACAAAAATCAGATTTTACATTCTTGAGTTCATCTTTATCTTCCTGTGTGTTAATTAAGCCTCTTACATTCTTTCAATATTATATTATGTGTAAAAATTTTATCTATAATATTGTCAGTGTATAATTCATAGTCTTGAGTATTTGTTATTTATTGCACTGGTTTTAACTGCTTGGTGTCTCCTGTTGCTATTATAACTTTGTTGTGCTTATTCTGCTCTACAAATTGTTTTATTCTCCAACATATATTTAAATTACTAAAATAGATTTCATCAAATACTATTACATCAAAATCTGTGAAGTCAAATGGTTCTAATTTTGCATCGCCGTAGTTTATTCCAAAAAACCTATTTATAGTCATTGCTTCACCTTCAAATGCCTGTAATATTTTTTAGTCGGACAAATAAAAGTTACCTTATAATTTGTACCAACCATTTTTGACATATATATGATTTTCCTGTGCCCGGTAGTTCGCCTCTAATCATAATAGGGTTATTCTGTTTAACAATCTCTATAATGTTATCAGTGTCGTATTCATCTTCAATATCAATAGTTTTACTTTCAAAAACTGGTATGTTTATTAGTTCTTTTTTTACAACGTTATATTTTACTGTAGGTAAATTAATTTCTTCCCTCTGCATTGAAACTTTCCAACCTCCTATATCATTATGAAATTCTGATAATTGCTTTGCTTTTTCTTCATTGCATGTATCAATTACAAAAGCATCGGTTTTTACACTTTATACATTAATTTTATTAGTTACTAGTGTCTTAAAGTCTTGGTTCATTTTAAAATTGTGATGTTGTAAAAGTAGTTCTTTAATATATCTATATCCGTTTCTTAATACTGCCTTATCCT